TCGATTATGATTCAACGTGAAAGGTACTCATCACTGGATTTGGTTTTGGAAAGACACAAATGGGTGTCTACACCAACTCTCTACACATTGTAGGCAATGAGCAGCTCTCTGCCATGCGGTCGTACTCTACTCATCTGTCTAGGAAGTATTGTTTTTCTTTTTGCATATTTTCTTAGTGTTTTTCTCTTTTTTAATTTCTTCTGCGCTACGCGCTTATACTTTTTTGCCCTCCCTTTTTCATTTTTGCCTAGTTTTTAGGTTATTACAAGTTAGATAGTCATATTCTTGGGCTGGATGATAATTAGAGGGACACTCTCACTGTTTCTTCAGAGCTTTTTGAGACTCTTGAGGTCTATGCTGGCTCTTTGAAGAAGGAGGTATGCTTGGCTCCTTCTGAGTTAAGGGCTGTCTTTGGCACTGTGACTGCTTCTGATCGCACAGGGTTCAGCCGTGCTGAGGCTGAGCCTTCCTCTTCTACTATTGGGAGCTAGCGAGAGACTCGGCCTGTAGCTAGGGAAATTGCTTCAGAATCTGAGGGGTTAGTGGCGCAAGGTGCTTCTCCTGAGAAGCGACTTGCTACGGCTTTCAGCCAGGTGGCACCTTGGATCTCTGTGGCAAATGAGCTACAGAATCAAGCTCTTGATGATTAAAAAAATAATGCTGATGATTTTGCTAATAGTGTTCTCAAGTTCCACCCCTAAGAGAGTTGAGACTACTAATGTGGTGGGTGGGGAACCCACAACTTCTTCTGAGCATGTTTTGCTCTCTTCTTCCGGCCTCGACGCTAATGTTGCGGCGAAGGACATTATTGTCCCCTCTATCACTACTTTCGAGTTTCAGCTTGTAGATGAAACTATTATGGAGCTACCTAAGATTCCACCTCGCCTTTCTGGTTTGCGAGGTCGCTTGCGGAGTGCTACACTACTAGAAATGATCCATTTACCGATGGACAAAATCCAACGGTAAAATTGTAAAAAACCATCGACTTATAATACGTCAGGAAAATCGATGATACCGATGGAATAACCATCGGTAAACTTAATAGCGATGGTTTTACCGATGGTTACAAACTATCGGTGCATTTTTAAATCCCGATGGAAAAAGCCATCGGTTTTTGTTCCCGATGGTCAAAGTCGTCGGTATATTTGGAATACCGATGGCTTGTGGCCATCAGTAATTTAAAAATTTATATATAAAAAAAAATTAAAACCCCTACCCACCCCCCTGCCTACCCCACACACTCCCTACGGCCCTACCTACCCCACCCAACACCGCCGCCGTAAGCCACTTAGTACCGCCGACCACCACCACAACCCTGTTCCATCTATCACCAGCGCCATAAACCACTCAACACCAGCAACCACCACCCAAAACACCCTAAAAATCAACACAAAACAACCCACAAAAATCAAGCCGAAAGAAACCACAAAAATTAACAAAAAATCAAACGTTGATGAAAATTAAAGTTAAAAAACAATAAACACACAAAATTCAACAAACACACACCACGAAAATGGTATAAAATTAAACCCACAAAAATAACACAAATAAATCCACAAACGAAATTAACTTTCAAAATTAAACAAAAAATCCACATACCTTTCAAATTTCTTCTTTTTTGGGTTTAAATGGTTAAACTCAACCATGAAAATTCCATATCTGGAGCTTTCATGGTCGAGTTTGACCAAAAAACCCGTAATTTTTTTTTTTTTCATTTTTTGGTAATTAAGAGGTTTTATTGCCAAAAAAGATCGATTTACAACCAAGTTCCAAAGAGGAACAGAACTAGACTAGGAGGAACCTAGTAAACAAACAAAAACTACACAAGCTTATCTCTTCACTCCATATTCTCCTTTGCTATCTTTCTTGTGTTCATATTCCTAAGTCTAGTTACAATATCAAATTTAATGCTCTTTACAACAGTATGTATACAAAAAATCTTCTGCTCCCACAAAGCAGTGTTTCTTGACTTCCAGATCTGATATATACAAGCCAGTATACATATATGCAAGACCCTTCTGCAGAAGTCTTTCTTAACTCTTCTTATGGCACGTCTAGCACTAGCCAGATTAACTAGTTTAATCCCAGTATCCAGCCAATTACTGACTTCCTTCCAAATCATCTGACTGTACTTACATTTGAAAAACAAATGTTCATGATCCTCCAGCACATCACCACAGAGTAAACAACTAGCCTCTGTAGAGTACCAAACGTCAGCAATCTGTCCCTGGTCATCAATCTGTTGTGCCAAGCAATCCAGCCAATGAACTTATGCTTAGGAGCAGCCCATTTTTCCCAGACCAACTTATCCCAATTGCAGCCAGTCAGATCAGCTCTCAGGACCTTATACATCCTGCTAATGTTGTACATACCCTGCCCAATTTAAGCAGGATCTAACACACTCTTCATTTTATCTTTAACTCTGCAGATTTGCTTCCAATACCAACTTGAATCAGCATTTGGCTGATAATTAAGCCAGTTGTGATTTTTAATATAGACTGCATTAATCCATCTTACCCACAGATTTTCTTGCTTATGAGAAATTGCCCAAACATGTTTCCCCAGAGCTGCAGAATTCTAGTCCTCTATGCTTCTCACACACAAACCACATTCCTTTTTCCTTCTGCAAACGATGTCCCAAGCAATATACCCTGATCTGTGCTTCATATCACCTCCCCAAAGATAATTTCTGCATATTACATTAATCTGAGCCCAATACACTTGAATGCTCAATAACACTGAATTAATCAATGTCAGTCTTGCTGCAAAAGACAAATGTCTGGAACTCCAAACTCCGATTCTTGCACACATTTTTTCAATCAGATGCTCACACTCAACAGCCGAAATTCTCTTAGAACAGATAGGAACCCCCAAGTATCTGAAGGGAAGCTTCCCTTTGGAGAACCCAGTAAGATTAAGGATCTCTTGCATAGTCACAGCATACATTCCAGCACAGAAAATGGAAGTTTTTTCAGGGCTAGCTTTTAAACCAGTTGCTTTAGAAAAAGCATCAAAACCCTTCATAACCAACTTTACAGATTTCAGATCCCCTTTACAGCAAAGAATTAGATCATCTGCAAAACAAAGATGAGTCAACCCCAAAGCCTTGCATCTGGGGTGAAAACTGAAATCTTTGTGTTTACTCACCACTTTTAGGATTCTTGAAAGATACTCAATGCATAGCACAAAAAGGAGAGGAGAGAGGGGATCCCCTTTCCTCAAACCTCTTTTTGAAGAAAAGAAACCATGAAGGGAGCCATTAATCTTCAAGGAAAACTTTGGAGTCCTAACACAAGTCATAATTAGATGTATGAAATGGCCAGGAAACTCCAAAGCAATTAACATTTCTTCAATAAATTCCCATTCAACCGTGTCATAGGCTTTTCTTAAGTCCAATTTAATCAAACAGCTAGGAGCCACATTTGCTCTCCCATACTGTCTAACTAAATCCTCACAAACCATGATGTTGTGCACAATAAATCTGCTATGAACAAAAGCACTCTGATTATCAGCAATGATGTGAGGCAGAACCTTCTTTAATCTCTCACAAAGCACCTTAGAGATGCACTTGTAGATCACATTGCAACAGGCTATTTGCTTGTACTCAGTAACATTAGAAGGGCATTTAGTTTTTGGAACTAAAGTCACTGCAGTTGTGTTTATCTCTTTAAGGATTCTGCCATGATCCAGAAAATCCAGAATAGCTTCACTGACATCCTGCCCCACAATATCCCACGTTTCTTTGTAGAAATTACTACCAAAACCATCAGGACCTGGGGCTTTGTTATCATCAATAGCAAACATTGCAGTTTTAATCTCCTACATAGTAAAAGCTACATCCAGCTTTGATTTCAACTCAGGGGAGATAATCAAGCCAGATTGCACAACAGCTTCATTCACCTGCATTCTACAATCATCTGAATTGCCAAGAAAACTATCATAGTACTGCAGAAAAGCATTTGGGACTTCACCAGGATCATCAATCCAATTACCTGCCATATCATGAATAGTGTAGATATTATTCTGCAACTGTCTCTTCTTCAAAGCTGCATGAAAGACAGCAGTGTTCTGATCTCCTTGAAGAATCCAAGTCACTTTAGACTTTTATCTCAAAAAAGAAACATAGTTCTGCTGGGTAATAGAATACTCCTTCCTTGCCTCACTTTCCAAGCTTCTCTTCACAGTATCATTTGGGTTTTGATGCATAGCACTCTGACAAACTTGCATATTATCAAAAGCCATCTTATAAGCTACCTCAACATCCTGAATGCCCTTTTTATTCCAGCCATTTAAAGCTTTTTTAACCTCCTTTAATTTTCTAGTAACTTTGTACATCTAGTGCCTTGCATCTGCACTTTCCAGGCAGCAGAAACAATGTCTTTAAAATCTGGAGCCTTACTCCACATATATAGGTATCTAAAAGGTTTCTTTCCAGTAGCTTGTTCAAAAAAAACTGAAACAATACCCGGACAATGATCAAAGTCACCTTCATTAAGGAAACACATCTCAGAATGCTCAAAAATATCTTCCCATTTACCATTCACCATCCCCCTATCAATTTTAGAGAATACCCTAGTTTTACCCTCTTGTTTATTATTCCAGGTGTAAAAGTTCCCACTGTATCTCATATCAACAAAACCACAGTCAGCTACACACTGTCTAAGTCTGCCATGTCATTCCAGGAAACAGGAGCCCCAATTCTCTCCTCAGCATTCAAAACACAATTGAAATCCCCTAGGAGTAACCAAGGGTCATCAATTGAACTATGCAGACTTCTCAAACTATCCCAAAGAGTACCTCTATCCTTTGCATTATTAAAAGCATATATAAAAGTGCGATGGAAATGAACACTTCTATTTTTTGCTTTAACAACACAATGAATAATCTGATCAGTGCTGAGTAAGATATTAACATCAAAAGACTGAGCCTTCCAAGCTACAACAATTCTCCCATTAGGATGATTATTGTTAGTACTAGTGACCATCTGAAACCCATCCTCATTAGGATGCAGATCTAGTCACCATCTGAAACCCATCCTCATTTGGGGTTACCTTCTCCTTGCCTATCACAACATTGGAGTTAATCTTAGGTCCCTGCTGTTCTTGTTTCTTCTTTGGAACCCACATTCTCTGCTTCCCTTTCATACAATCAGAAGCCACATGCCCCATTTTCTTGCAAGTGATACAAACAACTGGCTTCCAGTCATACTTCAAATATATAGACACTTTCACATCTTTTTCATTAACAAACTCAATCATATCCGGAAAATGTTGATCAATCCCTACCTCCAATAGGACTCTAGCATATTGCAATTTCTCCCTCTTTTCAGTAGAAGCATCCATTTTCACTAGGTTTCCCAAACTCCCCGCAATCTTCTTGAGAGATTTTTCCCCCCAATACTTCACAACTAAACCCCATAATTGAACCCAAGTTGGAACAATTCTAAATTCTTCCTTTGAAATCTCAATATCTTGAGTCCAGGCTTTCATGAATATGGGTTTCTTATCAAAGAAGATTTTGGGTCCAGCCAATACTCTGTCTCTGTTTTTCATGGTTCTAAATTGTACCATAAAAATACCCTTCTCCCTCAAAGCCACTTTATCTATCCCCAAATTCCTCCATATCCTTCTAAAGAATCCGTCCATTACAGTTAATGGGGGATTAGCACCACATACATATACTACAATTGCAGAATTCCAGAAATCAATTTCATCCTGTATGTCCTCTAAATCAATTTTAACACATTCAGGGCATTTAGTTTTCACTTCATCATCATCAATTGCATGCATATTTGACGCATCAAAATCAGATTGCAGATTATGTGAAACAGAGTTTACCTGAAGAACAAGGGTTCGATGCATACCCAGATTTTGTTCCTTTGATTTCTGCTTTGAACTTGCTTCCATGGCACTAATCCATTCAGAGAAAGTCCTTTTTGTCCTCTCCTGATGCTCCAATTCCACTATTGAAGTACTTGGTGAAAGAATTTGTTCTTCCATAAATCGATCGATATTTGGGTTCCCAATTTCTCTCACTTTAATTTCTGGGTTTCCATGTTTTTCCTTATTTTTCTTATTATTTTTTTGTTTCTGATTGTGTTTTTGTTTGTTTTGCGCAATTTCCGAAGAAGATTTAGTACGAGTGCTCACTGTCATGGCTGCTAAGCTCGCACTTTCACGAGCTCTTAGAGAGAAAACCTCGCAAAAACCATGTTTGGCAATGGTGGTAACCCGTAATCTTTGCATAAACCTTGTGATGGTAATGGTGGTAACCCCAAAAAATTGTGATGTTTCTGCAGAGAAAGGAGGAGGAAAATCAGAGAAGAGAAGGATAAGAGGAAAAGGTGAAGATAGAAGAGAAAAGAAGAAAAGTGAAGAGAGAGAAGAAAAAAAATGAGAGGATAGAGGAGACAGAAGAAGAGAGGCGTGAATGAAGGAGGAAGAAATAGAAAGTGAAAGAGGGGCGCTCCGTTTAATAAATTAGGGTTTCCTCCAATTTTTTTAAATACCGATAGTATAAAGCCATCATTATTCTTATTTTACCAATGGCTTTTAATCATCGGTAAAAAAATTAATTTTCTTTTAAAAAATAAGATTTTACCGATGGATGAAAACCATCGGAAATAATATACCAATGGTAAGGCCATCGGTATTTTAAAATGTACCGATGGCTTGATAAAACCATCGGTAAATTATATTTTTACCGATGGATTTTAGTGGCCATCGGTAAACGCGCGTATTCTTGTAGTGCTAGCAGGGGCGGTCACTCTCAATCTGGAGTACTCACAAGCAAGATCAGCTAGTTATAGATTTAGAGGATGATCTTGTGACCTCTCCCACGGTTGATGTTGATCAGCCAGCTGCTAAGAAGGCTTGAACTTCCTCTCCTCTTGAGCCTTTCGCTTCTCACTATGCCAACACTGGCCTTTTGGCTGAGCATGCTGGTAGGGAGGCTGGCACTCGGAATTCTAGCAAACTTAATCGTTTCGTTCAGCAGTTCTTGGGTGATGCTTTAGAGAATCCACTTTCTGCGACCTCACTCTTTGCTGGGGGCACCTTTCGTCCTACTAGACCCATTGAGTTCTTAGAAGTGCTTATTGATTCCACGCTCCGGCCTTTAATAAATGTCAAGGCTGACGAATCCTTGTTTGTGGACAACCCTAAGAATGGCGGCACTTTGGGATACCGTCTGACTCAGAGCGTTCGTCTCCCTTCTGATTCTACCAGTAGCTTAGGCAGTCTCCCTGTGGTCACTGTTTGCCATGATCTGCAGAAGATCAGCATTTGTTCGTAACCATTCTTTCGTCTCTTTGCTTGTTTACATTTTGTCAAGTCTGTTGGTTACTTGTCCAATGCCTTGCTTATGGTGGAGAAGGAGTATCAAAAAAATTTAACCCTTACTTAGAAGGATAAGGAGATTAAGCAGGTTCGTTTTGAGAGGGATTCAATGGCTGGTGAAGTGACTCCGCTGAGAGAAAAAGCAAATGCCCTACACCTCTAGCTGGGAGAATTTCAACTTACCAAAACCAAGCTGGCAGAATGTAAGGAGAAGTTGGGGACCTCTCAAGCCAGAGTGCAAGCGTTAGAGGCAGAGATGGCTGATCTGCGAGCTGGCAAGTTACTAAGCTTGAGGCTTCTAGGAGGGAGGCACTTAGATCTTTTGTGCTTTCTCCTGATTTTCCCAAGCTGGTTGTTGATCGCCATGATGGAGGCTGGGAGGCCGAGGCCCATTGTGTGAGTTGTCTTTATGGCGAGGGTGAGGAGCAGCAGGCTCGTTTTAATGCATTTTAGGCCAAGGTTGAGGTAATTGGGGAGGCTGGCTTGTTTGATTTGCCAGCTACTTATCCTCGCATTTCTAACTGCAGAGTCCCTAACCATGCCGTGCTGAATTTGAAGGTGCCTTTATGCACTGATGATGCGGCCATTGGGGTGGAGACTTTGGCTAATGAACAATAAAGGTTTTGGCGGCTATCTCCCCCTAACTCCAGCGGTTCATCGGAGTTTCCTTCCCCTAGGTTTGTGATAGCTAGGTAGCTTTTGTTGTTATCTTTGGGGTGTATAACAGCTAAAGATAATATTTTCTGCGTGCTTGTCTTTTAAAATTTTGATTTTCTGACTGCTGGGCTTGTCTAGCTTAACTTTGGATTCTGTATTGCTTTAGTTAACTTGCTGAATGTTTCCTTGCCTTGGTGCATGGGGTTTCAGCTTTATGAATATTGTAGTTTTTCTGCTAGATGTTTACTTTGTCATAGTGGGCAGAGGTTCAAATGTTTAGTGTATGAACTTGCTAACCTTCCTTTTATTTTGCTTACTGCTTATCTCGATGCATGCGTATTTGATGGAACATACCGCTGAACTATGGTGTAGTAGCACCTAAATCTTAGTTAAGCGGCCACCTTGTCGTTCCTGGTGAAGCCTCGTACGTTGGGCTTTTTCTTGTTGCTTTTTTATTCGAATTGTGTTTTTGTCTTACCTTCCTTATTTGGCTGCATGAGGCTTTCTAGTTTCTCAGCCTTTTTATTGCACTTAATGGAGATTTGTTGTGTTTTATGTCTTTTGTTTTCTTTTGTTTGCTGCGACTTACTGTGTCGTTCAGCTTTTGGGCTGCTCGCTTTCATGTCATTTAGCTTGTTTTGTTGTGACTAGTCTATGTCGTTCAGGTTTTTGGCTACTCGCTTTCATGTCATTCAACATGTTTTACTGTGACTTGTTTATGTCGTTCAGCTTTTTCGCTGCTCACTTTCATGTCATTCAACTTGTTTTGTTGTGACTTGTCTATGTCGTTCAGCTTGCTTTGCTGCAACTTATTTGTGTTGCTTAGCTTGTTGCACTGCGACTTATTGTTTTATGCCTCCTACTTATTTTTGTAAGGGCTTATCAGTTGTCCTCTACTTCTCCTCCTTGCAAAAGAGGTGAGCTGGGTGGGACTAAGAGAACCTTAGTGCAGCCCGCTCAGATCGTTGTTTTTCATTTCATTCATCCTTCCTTTCCCAAGTTGAACATGTCAGGCCTCCTCCTCAGGCGTCCCTGAGGTGGTGCCCTGTTTTACTTTGAGAAGGTAAGTTGAACTTTAGGGGAAGATGCTCTCCTCTGCTTAATGTTGTTCTATTGCACCTTTTTATGGTGCTTTCTGCTTTTACCAATTATATGGCTTTTTCTGCGTGTTACTGTACGATGCTAAAGCATACAATATTTAAACAAGTTTTTGCAATATACTCCTCACATAGAGGGTTGCATTTCATTTAATTTAAATGGCTTAAACTGTCCTGATTAACATGATATGGGCTAAACAAGATTCTTGCATAACTAAAGTAAAGTTCTCCAATTTCTACTCAGCTGCTTGCTTTCCGTGCTGATTTCCTCTCCCAACTACTCTCCTTCTGAGAACCAGGTGTCCAGGTAACAACTCTCGATGCCTTACCCTTTTGTTGAAAGCCTTAGAAATTCTGCTCTTTTTGGCTGCCAACTTGAGAGCTTCTTTTAGCCTCATCTTTGGCAGGAAGTCCAGCTCCTCCAGCATGCGTCTTTCATTTCCTTGCTGCTCGTAGTGCTGGATCCTCGGACTGGGGATTTGCACTTCCACTAGACCTACTGCATCTGCCCTATAGGCCAGGGTGAAAGGGCTTTTCCCAGTAGATTATTTCTTAGTTGTCCTATTTGCCTATAATACCTCTGGGACCAAGTCAGCCCAGAGGCCTTTGTGCTCTTCCAACATCTTTTGTAGGGTCGTTATTATCATCTTATTTGCTGCTTCTTCTTGGCTATTACTGCGGGTGGTAGACTAAGTCACTTGCATATTTGGTGCTTATTTCCTCCAAGTAGTCCTTGATGGTGTCACAGTCAAATTGGCACCCATGACCAAAGACTATGCACTGCGGTACCCCAAACCCTCTTATGATGTTCCTCCATATGAACGTTCTAACTTGAACCACTTTTATGTACTTGGTAGGCTCAGCTTTGATCCACTTGGTGAAATAGTCCACTACCGCTACGAGATACTTTCTTCCCGCTGACCTAGTGGTGAAGGGTCCTAAGATGTCCATTCCCCCTTGAGCAAACGGGATTGGGTTGAGAATTGGAGTCAGATCGTTTGCTGGCTGGTTTATGACTGGGGCATACTTTTGGCATTTTTCACATTTCTTGACATATGCTAATGCATCCTATGTTAGAATTATCCAGTATGCTCCCCTTCTGAGCACTTCCACGCCCAAGGCCTTTCCACCAATGTGGTTGGCATATATTCCTGAGTGTCCTTCTTCCATGATCTTCTCTTGCTACCACTCTGGGATACAACTTAGCAATGGCTTTGAGAAGCCTTTCTTGTTAAGCTCCCCATTCATTACCACATACTAGTTGGCGTCCTTGACTTTCTTTGCTTGCGCCACGTCATCTAGCAGCGAGCCATGAATCTTATAGGTTAGTATATCTGTGAACCATGTTCGCTGCTGTCTAATGCAGTTCACCTGCTCGTTTTCTGCAATGCTACTCTCTTCCTAGACTACCACAATGATTTTCCTTGTGAGGCTCTTTAGGGTGGAACTTGCTAATTTTGATAATGCATCAGCTTGGGAATTTTCCGCTCTATGGACCAAGTCTATCTAGAAATGCATTAGCTGAGCCACTAGCTCTTTCACCTTAGTTGTATATCTCAGCATTATGGGATCTCTAGCCTCATACTCCCCCTTTAGTTGACTGGAAACTAACTGAGATTCAGTCTTCAGGTGTTCTTTTCAGGCTCCTTCTACGATGCTCATTCTCAAGCCTACCCAACTTGCTTCATACTCTGCCTCGTTGTTTGACGCCTTAAATTTGATCTTAATGGCATATTCAAATACATTGCCCTTTGGCGATGTTATTATGATTCCTGCTCCACTTCCCGTTTAGGCTGAAGATCCATCCACTACCACTTTCCACATTCCAATTTCATCCTCTTTCTCCTCCTAAGAGGGTTTTACTTTAAAGTCTTCTAGGGCTTGAGCTTTTATGGCTGCCCTAGGTTTGACCTCAAATTCGTATCCAGAGAGCTCTATGGCCCATTTCAAGAGCCTGCTTGAAGCGTCCATTTTTTGTAAGGCTTTCTCAAGCGGGTGATTTGTGATGATTTTGATTGTGTGCGCGTCGAAATAAGGTTTTAGCCTCCTTGTTGTTGTTACCACTACAAAAGCTAGCTTCTCTACCAACAGGTATCTCGTCTCGGTCTCAGTCAGCACGTGGATCACATACTACACTGGCCTATGCTGTTTTTGTCTCTCGAAAAGGTGAACCGACGCAATTATTTGAATTGAGGCATAGATATACAACTGTAGTTTTTCGCTTAGCTCCGGGCTGATCATGGTTGGGAGGTTAGTCAGATGCTCCTTAATCCCCTCAAAAGCTTCTTTTTCCGCTGCTACCCATTTGAACTCCATATTCTCTTTTAACAGCTCGTAGAATGGTAAGGCTTTGTCAGCTGACTTGCTGATAAACCGGGTCAGTGCTGCCCTTCTTCTTGTTAATCGCATGATGTCATCCTTAATCCCCTCAAAAGCTTCTTTTTCCGCTGCTACCCATTTGAACTCCATATTCTCTTTTAACAACTCGTAGAATGGTAAGGCTTTGTCAGCTGACTTGCTTATAAACCGGGTCAGTGCTGCCCTTCTTCCTATTAGTCGCATGATGTCTTTGGTGCACTTGGGCTTTGGGAGGCTTAGGACTGCCTCCACTTTCTCTGGGTTGGCATCGATTCCCCTCTTGTTGATCAGAAAGCCTAGGAACTTTCCGGAGCTAACCCAAAAAACACATTTCTTTGGATTGAGTTTGATATTATACTTGTTAAGGGTTGCAAATGTTTCTTCCAAGTCCATGATATGTCCTGCCTACATGACTCTCTTTACAATTGAGTCGTCCACGTATACTTCAACATTCCTGCCTTTCTGGTGCATGAACACCCTATCCATTGTCTTCTGAAAAGTAGCCCCAGCATTCTTCAGCCCAAAGGGCATAGCTATGTAATTGTACACTCCCCCTTCGGTGATGAAAGCGGTCATCTGCCTGTTTAGCTCATGCAGGCTGATCTAATGATACCCTAAGAAGGCGTCCATGAAGCTTAGCAGGGCATGTCCGCTGGTTGAGTCTATCAGCTGGTCGATTCGCAGCATTGGGTAACAATCCTTTGGACATGCTTTGTTTAGACCTTTGAAATCAACGCTCATCCTCTATTGGTTGTTTTCTTTCTTGACCGTGACCCTGCTCCCAAAAGCTTATCCACTTCCTCCTGGATGGCTTGATTTTTCTCCATGGAGAAGCTTCGTTTCTTCTGTCTAACTGATTTGATATCCTCTTTCACATTCAGCCTATGAAACGTGACTGCAGGGTCAATTCTTGGCATCTCATCTGTTGAGAATGCGAAGATGTCTTTGTTCTTTCTTAGCAGCTCTATGAGGTGCACTCCAACTCCAAGGTCGATGTCTTTTTGTAGACACCCAAATGTGTCTCCCCAAAACCAAACCCAGTGATGAATACCTTTCACATCATTTGATTATCAAACGAAGTCAAAGTGTGAAAAGTATAGTGATGTGATTGTTTTTATTAAAACATCTCTCTTTATGCTTTTGAAAATATTTCTTCTTATACTCTATTTAAGAAAATAGTCATTCCAATTTATTTTGGTCCATGATAGGGGTCCAATAATGATGTAGTTGGATAGGACTCAAAAAGAGCTTTCCAACGATATATTATAAGCCCAATTCCAATGAATAATGAGGAAGTTATGGCCAAAACTAAATTGGGCCCAAAACTAAAGCTATTAGGATTGATTTTAATCTTCTAGAATATCTAGAAGGTTCTTTTAAATTCTAATGGAATTAGGATTGATAATTATATTTTAAAAAATTTATTTGGAATAAAATAAGTATTTTATGATGAACCAGATTTTAATTTAATAAACGCGGAATTTGCTACTTAATCATATTAGGAAGAGGATTCCGCGTGCAAAGCGCATTTTAATTCTTGCTCAGCGTAAGACAACAAGTCTGTCACTTGGCGCTAATAGCTGTTGCCTGGCGCTAACAGCTGTCGCCTAGAGCTGGTGCTTGTCGTCTGGCGCTAACTCCTGTCGTTCGCGACCGGATGTCTTTTATTCCGAATGGGACTTGATTTTTTTCTATCGTTTTCGGACTATTTTTCTATAAATAGGGGTCGTATCTCCCCCTTTTTAATCATTCACCAACAATCATCTAATTTTATTCCTCTCTCTCTAAATCTAGAACCTTATTCTCTCCCTATTCTTTTTCTAAACCTTCCCTCTTACAAAATTCCACATACATTAGTTCTACACACACCTAGCCAAGTTCGAAGTTGCCTTTTCCCTAGACGTGAAAGGTTGATAATTTTTAAGGGTTTGGTCCCAAATCCCTATTTCAATTATTTACTTTAATTGTTTGATTTATTATTTTCCTTAAAGTTACTAACGCGTGTATTTTGTTATTAGAAAGAGACACGAGGCATACAAGTAAGTAGTTTAATTGCTTTAATTATTCTTTTGATATAGAAATCATGCTTTGATTATTTTAATTCCTAGTATCATGTTAGGATGTCTTTATGATTCCTAGTATCATGTTAGGATGTCTTTATGATTCCTAGTATCATGTTTAGGGTAATTACTAATATTTCTAATATCATGTATATTTCTTTGATGCTTCTTATTCTTTCTTTCTATCATCTTAGTACCATGTTAGGGTTAAAGCTTTGATCTTTAATATTTAGTGACATGCTAGGGTTTTTTTATTAATCTTGTTAGTATCATTCTTAGGGTCTTGCTAATATTATTATGCTTTGAGATTGAGATTGATATTATTATTATTATTATTATTATTATTATTATTATTATTATTATTATTATTATTATTATTATTATTATTATTATTATTATTATTATTATTATTATTATTATTATTATTATCAGGTTGCTTGATATTATATTATTACTGTTATTGCTTGATCACGCCTTTTATGCATGTTTTAAGGGAATTTGTACATGTATTCATGCTTAATAAGATAATTAATAATCTTATTTAGGTTAATGTGATTATAATTCAAGTGATTGCTAATAATAGTGTACAGGATAGCTCCCGCTGAACTATCGCCTAGCCCCCAGGGTGCGCACTCACTGCTGATAAGGTAGTTACGAAGGGCTCTCTAGCTTGATGGAGTCAGCCCGCAGGGCTGACCAGGCTAGACTCTCCGTAAAGAAGATAGTACGCCTATAAATAGAGGGTAAGGTACAGAGGAAAAGAGGTTAGACACTAAAGTTATTGTACTTTCTATATCTCTCTAAGTACACTTTATCTCTCTAAACACTCTCTAACTTAAGCTTCGGAGGGGGGTTCCTCGAGCCATCCCCGAGGGCAGTTTACGTGTGCTGCCGTGTGCAGGTTGCCGACGGGACCTAGCTCACCCAGCAGAACCCTTGGCGCTAAAAGGAGGGGGAGGATCATCTAACCTGAGGTTCACCAATTGAGTTAGGGACTAGTTGACAAACCACCATGGCCGGGGAGGAAGTTGTACAAACACCCGTACCCAAAGCCAGCGACACCAACCAAACACCACAAAAAACACCAGCAGCAACTGTCGATCCAAAAGGATCCGCCGAAAAACCCAAATCAACCATCTCACAAAAATCCAACCCCATCAGACCGACGTCAGCTGCAGCTAAAGCTGCGTCGAAACCAGTCGATCCGATAGGATTCAATTCCATTTTCAAATACGGAAGGCCGTTGGCAGGCGCGAATAGTGAACCCATTGTTTCAAAACCAATAGCCCAAAAACCGCAGCCTGTAAACATGTCAGTTATTCTGCAGAACCTCTCTAAGTGCAATAAGGAACAGCTGGCGGCAAAGACGACAGTCCTAGTCAATATGGGTAAGGGAACAAGCTCGCCACCAACAGCGGCAGCTTCGGAGCCAGCAGTAAAGAAACCAGCACCCCCAGTCCTCACCCCCGAGCAGAAGGAGCTCGTTAAGCTCGCAACCTGAACCGAGAATGGAGTGTGGAGGAGATAGCCCAGGCTGGGAGGAGCCCAGAGAGGCGAGTTCCCCGCAGCAAGTCACCAGCCTCAGAGCGGGGGCCCAGCCCGGACAGAGACAAGGGAGCGCGGATCCAGGTTGTTCCAGATGATTCCCCATTTTTTTCGGGAGATTTCTGAAGAACTGATGGAGAAGATAAAGATGCCGAGCTGTAGGTACAATGGAACCACAACACCTAAGAGTCACATATCAGCCTTGGAGAACCACATGGTGCTCTATACCATGACGGATTCGGTTTGGTGCAAAGCGTTCCTACCAACCTTGGAGGGATTAACTCCGAAATGGTATGGAGCCATCCCTAAAGGTTTTGTATACTCGTATAATCAGCTGAAGAGGATGTTCATGGAGCATTTCATAACCTTGGTAGATCGAACCAAGATGACAACTGAGCTGATGTCACTGGTTTAGGGGAAGGATGAGCCCCTGAGGGAGTTCATCACCAGATTCAACAAGGAGGCAACAACCATCCTGAATATGAGCCAAGAGGTAGCATTGTTGGCCATGCAGAGCGGCTTGCTGCCGGGCTCACCGTTTAGAGCGTATATGGGGCGTAAGAGCCTCAAAACGCTGGCAGAGGCGCAGGGTAAAGCGCACGAGTTCATCAAGGCAGACGAAACTGATAAAGCAATGCTAAGCAAGAAGGCGCCAAGCGACCTAGTTAAGCGGGTAGAAGTCACCCAGGTAGAAAATATAGCTAGGCTTGACCAGCCAAGCAGAGCTGAACAAGGTCGTAGAGTGGCGGACAGAGAGGTGGGGGTAAAAAAGCCAGATCCAAGGAGAGAAGTAAGGTCAGGAAGGTTCGATCAATATACCCCCCTAACCCACTCGAGGTCTCACATCTTCAATGTGAACAAAGCTGATGATAAGTGGTAGAGACCCTAGAGAACGGTTAACATGAACCGTGATCCCAGCAATTGGTGTGACTTCCATAGAGATCATGGCCATACCACTAATGGGTGCACGCACTTGAAAGATAACATAGAAGATCTGGTCAGGAGAGGATACCTGAATCAGTTCAAGCAGCACACTGATCCTCCCAGAGAAAGGGATGAAGATAGAGTAGGTCGTGATCGCAGAGGAGGTCATAGGGGTCCCGCTGAGGACAGGGACAGACACAGTAAGCCAGAAGGAAAAGTGTATGTAATCAGTGGAGGACCAGTGCACGAGGGAACAATGAACAAAGCACGAGCAGACCTGCGGGCAATGATACATCAAATAAATTACAATAAGAAGCGTAGATGGCCACCACTTCCTCCGCAGCCGAGGGCTACATTTGATGAATACGATCAAGAAAGAATAGTCTATCCTCATGATAACCCGCTGGTGGTGACGATGAGAATAGCAAATTAGGAGGTGGATCGAATATTGATCGATGTAGGCACCTCAGCCAATATCATATACATCAGCGCGTTCAAAGAGTTGAAGCTAAACAAGAAAGATCTGAAAAGAGTGAGTTATGAAATCACCGGGTTCAACGGATCCGGATTAACCCTTGAGGGCATAATTGAGCTCTCAGCTCGAGTAGGGGAAAGGTCAAAAAGACATGATGTGCGGGAAGAGTTCTTGGTGTTAGACTCTCCTTCACCTTACAATGTGGTCATGGGAAGGCCGCTCATTCACAAGATCGGCGGAGTGGTTTCCACATACCACCTTGCCATGGCTTACACAACTAACGAAGGGCGATCAGCAAAGCTCAGAGGAAGCCAAAAGACGGCTCAACAATGCTACATAACTGCTTTAAAGCAGCCCGCCAGGATCAAGCAGCAGCCGGTCTCAGAACTAAGATCCCTTGAGCAGCTTGAGAGAAAGTTAAGGAAAAGGAAGCGCGGAGAATACCGTAGGGAAAAGGATAAGAAAAAGTTGGCCATGGAAAATTTCGAGCCCGCAAAAGAGGAGATGACCAGGCCCCTTCGCAGCGGGGAGCACGTTACAGTTGAGCTCACCAAGGGCGACCCATCAAGAATGGTGAAAATCGGGAAGGATATTGACCTAGTTGTAGGTGTGCACCTCATAGAACTGTTGAGGATATCACGTTTTCAGCAGATGAGATGCCTGGAATTGACCCCGCGGTCATACTCCACACGCTGAACGTGAGGGAGGATATCAAGCCAGTAAGGCACAAGAAGCGAAGCTTCTCCACAGAGAAAAACCAAGCCATCCAGGAGGAAGTAGAAAAGCTTTTGGAAGCGGGATTCATTGAACCTTGTGATTATCCAGAGTGGTTGGCCAATGTAGTCATGGTCAAGAAGGCGAATGGTCAGTGGAGAATGTGTGTTAATTTCATCGACCTCAACAAAGCCTGCCCGAAAGATTGTTACCCGCTGCCACGAATAGATCAGCTTATAGACTCAACCAGTGGGCCCGCCATGCTGAGCTTCATGGACGCCTTCTCAGGATACCATCAGATCAGCCTGCACACCCCAAATAGACAGAAAACCGCATTCATCACTGAAGGGAGAGTGTACAATTACATAGTTATGCCCTTTGGGTTGAAGAATGCAGGATCAACTTTCCAGAAGACAATGGATAAAGTGTTTATGCACCAGAAGGGTAGAAATGTGGAAGTATATGTGGATGACTCAATTGTAAAGAGCGTCACGTAGGCAGGGCATATCATGGATTTAGAAGAAACATTTGCCACTCTGAGAAAGTACAACATCAAACTCAATCCGAAGAAATGTATCTTCGGGGTGAGTTCAGGAAAGTTCTTAGGTTTCCTAATCAGTGAAAGAGCAATAGACGCAAATCCTGAGAAGGTTAAGGCAGTCCTATGCCTACCTGAGCCTACATTTATTAAAGACATCATGCGATCGACAGGCAGAATGGCCGCACTGACCAGGTTCTTCCAGCTGTTGAAAGGGAACAAAGAATTTAAATGGGGAGCCGCATAAAGAGAAGCTTTTGAGGGTATCAAGGAGCATCTAACTAAGATCCCAACAATGATCAGCCCGGAGCTGAGAGAAAAATTGCAGTTGTACATTTCCGCGTCAATTCTGACAATCGCAGCCGTCCTCTTGGCGGAAAGGCAAAAGCAACAAAGGCCAATATACTTTGTGATCCACGTACTGACTGAGACCTCCGAAGTGGTCACAACAGCAAGGAAGTTGAAACCGTATTTTGACGCGCACGTAATACAAATCCTCACAAATCACCCACTGGAAAAAGCATTGCAGAAGATGGACGCATCAGGCAGACTCTTGAAATGGGCCATCGAGCTTTCTAAGTATGAGTTGGAGGTCAAGCCCAGGGAAGCCATCAAGGCACAAGCCTTGGCAGATTTCATCGTGGAAGCCTGTTATGAGGAGAAGGAAGATGACGTTGGGATCTGGAAGGTAGAAGTAGATGGATCCTCAGCCCAAGGAAGGAGCGGGGCAAGAATCATAATGACATCCCTAGAGGGAAATGTATTTAAGTGCGCCATAAAGTTCAAATTCAAAGCATCAAATAACGAGGCAGAATACGAGGCAACGCTAGAAGGCCTGCGTATGAGTATCACAGCCGGAGCCAGGAAAGTCCATCTACAAACTGACTCCCAGCTTGTCGCCAGTCAAGTGAAGGGGGCATACGAGATCAGGGAGCCCACCATGTTGAAATATGTAACTAAAATAAAAGAACTGGCAGCCCAGCTGGTTCACTTCCAGATAGGCTTGGTCCCCAGAGCGGAAAACTCCCAGGCTAACGCCTTGTCAAAGTTGGCCAATTCTACCCTGCAGAGCCTCACAAGGACGATGATGGTGGAAGTCCGAGAGGAAAGCAGCATCGCCGAAAAGGAGCAGGTGAACTGCATTGGGCAGCAGCAAGCTTGGTTCATAGACATTCTGGCATACAAAGTTCATGGCTCGCTTCCAGACGACGAAGTCCAAGCTAAAAAGGTAAATAAAGACGCCAATTGGTACGTGGTAATAAACGGGGAGCTTAACAAGAAAGGCTTCTCGAAACCATTGCTGAGGTGTATTCCCGAGTGGGAGCAGGAAAGCATTATGGAAGAAGCCCATTCAGGAATATATGCCAACCACATTGGTGGAAAAACATAGGAGTAGAAGTTCTAAGAAGAGGCGCATACTGGCCAACTCTAGCTCAAGACGCGCTGGCATATGTGAAAAAGTGCGACAAATGTCAGAAGCATTCCCCAATTATAAACCAGCCAGCAAATGATTTGACTCCAATCCTCAGCCCGATTCTGTTCGCCCAGTGGGGAATGGACATATTGGGATCGTTCACCACTGGGTCAGCGGATAGAAAATACCTCATAGTGGCGGCAGACTATTTTACTAAGTGGATAGAAGCTGAGCCGACCAAGTACATAAAGGCCCCCCAAGTGAGGACGTTCATATGGAAGAACATCATTAGAAGATTCGAAGTGCCACAGTGCATAGTATTTGACCACGGATGTCAATTCGACTGCGACACAATCAAGGATTATCTGGAGGACATGGGCACCAAGTATGCAAGTGCCTCAGTCTGCCACCCTCAGAGTAATGGCCAAGCTGAGGCAGCAAACAAGCTGATCCTAACAGCCTTGCAGAGAAAGCTAGAGGAGCACAAGGGCCTATGGGCTGACCTAGTCCCAAAGGTCTTATGGGCAAACAGAACCACTAAGAAAGAGTCTACTGGTAAAAGCCCTTTCACCCTGGCCTATGGGGCTGATGTGATTGTCCTAGAGGAGGTGCAGATTCCCAGCCTGAGGATACAACATTATGAACATCAAGGAAATGAAAAGCGCATGCTTGAAGAGCTAGACTTCCTGCCGGAAGTAAGGCTAAAAGCAGCCCTCAAGTTGGCAGCCCAAAAGAGCAGGATTTCCAAAGCTTTCAATAAAAGGGTCAAGCGCAGGGAGCTCCTGCCTAGAGAATTGGTCCTCAAAAGGACAGCAGCTGTGGGAAGAGGAAATTAGCATGGAAAACTGTCATCCAATTGGGAAGGTCCTTTCATCATTCATGAGCAATTAGGACCACGCGCATTCCTCCTCGCAGATCAAGAAGGTCAGGTCTTAAGAAATAGTTTTAATGATGATGTGTTAAATAAATATTTTGTTTAAAAGGCAAGAATTTAAGTAGAAACGGAGACATCTATTTCAATTTTGCAAGAACTCTATTAAGTTCATGTTATGTTAAATAAGGTAGATGAGCCATTTTTAATTTAACGAAATACAAGCCTCTACGTGAGGAGTATATTGCGTAAACCTGTTTTGATATATCATGCTTTAGCATCATATACTAACATACAGAAGTAAAGATAAAAAAACAAAAGGAAAGAAGAGAGCAACAAAAATGCAAGTGCTGAGGGTACTAAAACACTCTAGCATAAAGCAACAAAATAGCGTTAAGCTAAGAAGAAACATCCCTCCCAAAAACCCAACCTCACATGCTCCAAGTAAAACAGGGCACCACCTCGGGGACGCCTGAGGGGGAGGCCTGGCACGTTCAACTTGAGCAGGAGAGGGCAGGGAAAACGAAGACGATGAGCTATGTGGGAAACACTAAGGTTCTCTTAGTCCCACCCAGCTCACCTCTTCGAGAGGGAGAAGAGGAGGAAGCAGATAAATATAAGCCCTTACAAAAAGGAGTAAGTGGCACACAACATCAAGTCGCAACATAAACAAGCTGAACGACATAAATAATTCACAACAAAACAAGCTGAACGACATAAATAAGTCACAGCAAAACAAAGCTGAACGATACTAAACGAGCAGTTAAAAAGCTAATTGACACAAGTAAGTCTCAGCAGAGCAGACCAAGTAACGCCCAGAAAGGCAGCAACTGAATAAACTAATCAACATGCAGACGAGTCTCTATCAAACCTAAACAGAGTACATAAGGCACAAGCACCCAAAGCAAAATCTGGAACAAGGTAACATAAATACATGCAATACAAAGTTGAACCCCTACCCACCAAGGCAGGGTAAACATTCATCAGGTTAGTTACAACATATGCAAAGCTGAGCCCTCGTCCACTAAGACAAGGAAACACTCAGCAAGTAAAGCCAGAAAGGCACAAATACAAGTTAAGCTGGACAGACCCGGCAACAAAAGACAAAGTATTATGAGGAAACACAAAGAAACATAATCATTGGCGGCTATACACCCCAAAGATAGTAACAAAAACTACCTAGTTACAACAAATCTGGGTGAAGGAAACTCGGAGTAACCACTGGAGTAGGAAGGTGACACCCGCCATAACCTTTATTGTCCACCAGCCAAGAACTCCACCCCAATAGCTTTAGCAACATCAGGACAATGAAGAACTTCCAATTTCAGCACACCATGCTTAGGAACCTTGCAACTGGCAGCACGAGGGTGGTAAACAGAAAAATCAAACAAACCAGCCTCGCCCACAAACTCTACTTTGGCCCAGAAGGTGTTGAAACGAGCTTGCTGTTTCGCACCTTCACCGTATAAGCTACTCACGCACCGAGCCACAGCCTCCCAACCACCATCATGGCGATCATCCAATAACTTAGCAAAAAACGGGGAGAGTGTGAAGGCCTTAAGTGCCTCCTTCCTAGTAGTCTCTAGTTCAGTAACATGCCCAGCTCGCAAGTCAGCTATCTCTGTTTCCAACGCCTGCACCTTGGCCTGAGAGGTCCCCAACTATTCCTCGCAGCTCTTTCAATTTGGTCTGGGTGAGCTGAAATTCTCCCAACTAGAGCTGCAGGGCGTCCGCCCTCTCCCTCAGAGGAGTTACCTCACTAACCATAGCTTCCTTCTCAACCGAGCCTGCTGAACCTCCAAATTCTTCTGAGAAAGGATCAGTCCTTGATTATGATACTCCTTCTCCACTGCCAACAAGGCATTGGATAAATCTCCAACAAACCTGACAAACTGCAAAAAAAGGACAGAGAAAGAAAAGAGTAAGCTAAGATAGAAATCAGTGGAAGGAAAGAACAAAATAAGACACTAACAATGGAACGAACGAAGAAAAAGAGAAAAAACCTTCTGTAGGTCATGGCAAGCCGTAGCAGCAGGGAGGCTAACTAAGTTGCGCGTAGAATCAGCTGGAAGACGGACTCTTTGATTCAAACGGTACCCCAAAGTATCGCCATTCTGGGAGTCGTCCACAAGCAGAGACTCTTTAGCCCTCACGTTCATCTCAGGCCAAAATGGAGCATCCTCAGCTCCAACAGGACAAAGGACAAGGAGAAGATGGACATCAATGAGAACCTCAGAAAACTTAATAGCTCTAGTAGGGCAAAAAGTACCTCTAGCAAAGATCGAGGTAGCAGACAAGGGGTTCTCAAAAGCATTACTCAAGAATTGGTGAACAAAGTGATTAAGTTCACTGGAATTCTGAGTGTCAATGCCCCCGTCAGCATTCCCTCCAGGGAGCCTAGTGTTAGCAGAATGAGAAGCGAAGGGATCAAGGCCGGAGGAGGTACGAGCCTTCTTTGTAGCGGGTTCATCCTCAATAGGGGCGGAGGTCACAGGATCATCCTCCAGGTCTATAACTAGCTGATCTTGCTTTTGAGCACCCCCTGCATGAGCATTCCCACCTCTGGACGCACTTTGGAGCCGCCCTCTCAATTCAGTAGGGCGTGGCGGAAACTTGGGAAGCTCCTTGACAGTCTCATCGGGAAACTAGAAATCGGTAACTTCAGCAGAAGGATCAGCAGCGTCCTTCGTAGCAGTAACATTGTCAACATCAGAAGGAAAGAGCAGAACATGCTCAGTTGAAAAATTGGGCTTTAAGCCCGCAGCGGTAGTTTCAGCCTCCTTAGAGGGAAACTTTAGAACACTATCCGCAAAGTCATCAGTGGTAGTCTTTGCATCATCAGAAGCTTGATCACGTTGCCTTTTTGCAGTAGAGGTCTGAGGTGCCACCCAGCCGGAAGCTGCAACAGATTGCTTCTCAGGAGAAGCATCATGTGCCACTAACGCCTCACGCTCCGAAGCCGCTTTTCGAGGGGCAGGCCAAGTATCATGTCTACTCCTAACAGTGGAGGATGAAGGCTCAACTTCAGCACGGCTGGACCCTACGCGGTCAGCAACAGTCACGGTAACAAAAACAGCCCGCAGCTCACCGGGAGCAAGACGCACTTCATTCTTCAGAGGGCCGGTATACACCTCTAGTGTGTCAAAGAGCTCAGGAGGATTTTCAGGAGTAGCATTTAAAGGGTCCCTCTAGTTATTAGCCAGCCCAAGGATACACTTATCCAACTTGTCATAGCCTGAAAAGGGGGAAAGGCAAGAAAATAAAACAACGTAAAAGACTTAGACAAAAGAGAAAAAAGAAGAAGAAAACGAAAGAAAGCCAAGAAACTTACCCGGCTCATGTGTACGACACAAACGCATAGCAGAGAGCTGCTTGTTACCCACAATGTATATGGAGTTGGGTAGCCAGATCTTGGGAAATTTGGAATCACCTGTCCCCGCACCCTGTAGAGCCTTAAAAGCCTCAGTCTCACGGGCAGACTCGCAGGGGGAGACAGTAACTCCAGCCATGTTAGTATGGATTTCCATAAAAATGCGCGGCGCAGCAAAAGTGAAAGGCACCTTCACCCAGAAAAATTTGCCAGTCCAATCCCTAAAACGACCAAATTTTAGGTAGGATAAGATCCTGCCCTCCTTAGGAGCAACATAGTACCACCTAGACTCGGTCCCAGAAGCAGACCTTTTCAAGCTGATTAAAGACTTAAACAAGTGCAAGGAATTAGGGTACCTCCGAAATTGTAAGAACCAGAGCAGGAAAATTAGGGTATGAAGAGAAGCTGGATACAGTAGCGAAATACAGATGTTGAAGGCACGGAACACCTTCTCCAGATTAGGGTCAAGAGGAAACCGCAGACCCAAGTCTAGCTAAGACGCAAACACAACAATGTGCTCATCAAGGGGAGCAGAGAGCTTCGCACTATCAGTGAGCAAGACCAGCTCGTAGCCCTCCCCAAAACCATAAAACTTCTCCCCAACAGAAGCAAGGTTCAACCTTCTTGCATCCTTGCGCCAGAGAGAGTCCAACACACAGTTCTTTGGCTCGTAGCACTTGTCATCCAAGAAAAACTCAGTCTTTCCCTCCTCAACAGGCTCCACCACATAGGTGG